AATTCAGCTGTGGGCAATGATTGCCCGGCAGGCGCTCGAGAAGCAACTCGAGCCTATTGCTCGGAATACGTCCATCTTTGATCAATATGTTCTTGTTACCTTGGTTCCCAGCTAGTAATTAACTGCGAGTGGTGGTCATCGATCTTGCTGTCGGGCATCTTGTGAGATATAGATACGCGCGCACACTTGGGAGAGGTTTTTACGCGTCGACGTCGTTTCAATCATGATAGAGTGATCAGATATGGTACTGGTAGTGCCTGAGCGCTGTGCTTCAAGTACACTGAGATGCTCACAATCGATGATAGTACTAGTCCTAGCCTGGTACTATGTAGGGCTTCGCGGGTGTGCGCATAGTACCCCGACATCAACGTCGATTACATCGGCAACGGCGCTGTGATTGGGGCTTGTGTAGCTTGGTGGGCGTTTGTGGACGGAGGGAGCTCGGTCCGTCTCAGATGATCCTTTCGGTGTTCAAAGTTGCCAGAGCTGGGCTAGGTCCTGTCGACGTTCTCCACTTACTTCCGACATGTTCGGCGGGTATTTCTCACCGCCTGGCGCTGTAGAGTCCGACTACTGAAGAACCGCAGTCGGCACCATCTGTCTCGCTTGCAGATGTCTATCACAATGCTAGCCGGCAATTGCCTCGAAATTATACATCATGCGCAGTCCAAACTCTGAACTTTCCCAATCACAGAAGGGAAATCGTCCACTTCCCCGACAAGAACACCACCGAGAACTCAGGATCGATTGTCCGATAGAGCCAAGCCATCAAGCTTGGTTTGGACTGTGAGAATGTCAAATGCGTCGTGATTATCTCCGTACAAATGCAGCACGATCCCGTGAAGTCAGGATCGCTTGATCAGGAGATGTATAGACCATCATGTCGTACACACGGGAAGTGCAGAAAACATAGATTCCAGTACCTATTACGGTGACTTGACATATCGACATGGTATATGGATCGATCCGAAACTCTAAATGTAAATTAGGCTATGCGCGGTGAGTGATCTTGGATCGCCACAGCATGCTTCGTACGCGGATTTGCGCACCTCCACTACTAGGTATACGCCACGGTAATAGTGCCGAGAGTCCACCTAGCATAGCGCTGATGTTCCATCTGATACAAGGATAGGTTTTGGTGCGTGTGAATTAGGCATATACGTAAGCCTGCACGGGTTCGAGGAGGAAACGCTCAGCCAGCCAGCCCTGACTCGTGTACTGTGTATAATTGGCGTTCCTTCCAATGAGCTCCATGTCATCGAGAGCGCTCTGTTCTCTCTACACCCGGTCATGTCTAGAAGGATGAAGCGACTAGATAGGAAGAACGGCCAGTCTAAGCCGACAAGACGGTCCATTCGACGGCACACACACAGCAACTTGGTCCTTGGAGCACACTCGAAAGTTTCGTCGAAGGTTGTCTGTCTTTTGTCGGCGTTGAAATCGGCGAAAGAGAAGATCCACTCGCTGGCCGCGATGGAGAAGAACAAGCCTTGCGTTCGAAAAGGAGGGAGAGAAAGATGACGTCAGAAAAGCAGACAATCCTCAATTGCACCAGCACTTCTCAAGAGTGTAAGTGAGTGAGGACAGCACCCGGACAGCACGAACGACGAGAAATTCAAGAAGCCAAGTCAGAAGTTCGACGAATGCTTGAAGTCTGTCGACGTTGGAATCGGCGAATCATGACTCGAAGCTCCTCAATAGCGGCGACAAGGACGCGTTGTCAACTTGGGGACTCGAGATGAGCTGGAGGGGGGCCGGCAACTGTTGAGACTGACACGAGCGCCGTGTTCGAGAACAAGAAGGAGAGCTTTGAGGAAGATAAATTAATGATCCTCAGTCGTGGGACTATAGCTAAACCGAAAATAGGCAGGCGAGTCCGGGAAGTACGGATGGTGAACGCTTGCGGAGAAAATCGTACGACTGGTGGAGATCGGTCGACTTGTTGACCACCGAAGAACCTGGACTCGTTCCCAGACTGCGGCAACTAGGAGGGTCGCCAAGCAGAAAGATTCAGGATGGCGAGTCAAGATTGGCGTATCCATGTTAGAATTAACGTGCGAAGAGATCCGGCCTACTGAACCGACAGCGACCAGGAGTATGGATGAAAGACCGCATCTGACAATCCTGAACTTTACAGTAGCATCGAGTAAGCGTTCGGGTGAAAATCGAGTAAGACTCTTGTACGGGAGAGAGACAAGGTGAAACGGGTTGATGAACGGTGCTGCTAAGGCGAAATGGTATGCTGAAATGTTGAGGCACCTGGTACGATAAACGGTAGAGCGTACTCTCGTCCTGTGCCGAGATAGGACGCAAACGAATAAGATTAAGTGCAGTTTAGTTCAACTTCCGCGACAGCGAGCCGGTACATCGTCGAATCAGTCTCTTACAACACCATCGCCACACCCACCCCACCCATCGCCAATATCACCGCACCAAGCCCTATCCCCGTCCCAACCGCAGCTCCCTCATCCCCACTCCCACTTCCTTCATCCTCATCCCCCTGCCCATCAGCAGGCACCCCAGGCGTCTCCTCCGAAACACGCACACACGAACTCGGTACATCCACCTCCTGCCTCGCCTCCAAACTCCCACTCCCAGAAACTGACAAGCTGGGGACGGGTACGTCGGGCGGGAGTAAACTCGTTGCTTCCGATTCTAACGAGGACAAGGCTGAGCTGGCGGCGGAGGAGGCGAAGGTAGTGGCGGCAGCGCCGGATCCAGTAGCTATGGCCGTTCCTTGTGTTTCTGTAGCGGACGCTACGACAGAGCTGAGAGAACTGAGCATGGATGAGCCTGAGCCGGGGCGAGTGGTGTAGCCTGGTGGACAATCGTTGACGATGGAGGAGGGAAATACGTCGGCTGGAGAGACGGTTAGTGGTTCGCTGGAAGAATTCTTAGTAAGTCAAAAAAGAATTCGAGCATCTTGAAGGGTGGAAATGATACGTACTCGCTTTGAGCGTACACAGACAGGAAGAGCGCAGAGGCTAGGAAGGTGGTGGTGGTCTTCATGTTGAACATAGTCGTTGGGGGTAAGAAGCAAGGAGGTATAGATGCGCAGTAAGTCAAGCTCGTGTGGGGTTAAATGTACTGTCAGGCACAGGTCGGGCTGTTCTGTTGTTGTTGATGATGGCGAGGAGCTCCACTGGAATTACTGGATTTTGGGTGCCAAGCATCGACGTCATGATTGGCCTAGCTCAACCTGCGCTCCGTCCTGGGTCGGTATTCCAAAGGTTTGATCACGAAAGAGAATTTATGAAGGAGGACTTTGAACGTGATGGCACTGAGTGGAGATTGGCTGGTACATGGAGAAGGAGGAGGAGGGTGCGAAGTTTGTTGACGATATGGGAGCAGGGAAGAACGCTTGGTGAGATTAGTCATCTCGCGCGACCTGCTCCTTGACCGCAATTCGACCAAAACTCGACCGTGCCGTTCGCACACACTATCGATGTATACGATGCCTCTTCGCCAGTGTCAGAAAATGATAATACATCTCTAGCATCAGAAGTTCGCAAACTCTGTCTATACAGTACGCTATAGATCCTACTGCCACCGTCACGTCCCCGATGCTGAACGAGCTGCCTGCTTTTGAATTCGTGAACGTTGTCCTCGAGCTCTCGGTCTACTGGGGAATCGTCATCTTACACTGGTCTCTCGAAGCAATCAACACGTCGAGGCTTTAATTGGGAGCGCGACACGCATGCTCTACTCATACCGTGAGAGATCGACGAGGACTCGCCCCTGCCTTGTCGGGGAAGGTGAATTGTCAACGAGATTCCGAAAGGCCTACTCATAACCACATCTGCGAGCGCACATGCCATACATATATTCTAGCAACTCACGATGCTCTGTCCCTCCAAATACTGCCACACTACTCGCTCACAATACCATTCCCACACCCAGACTCACCACCACCGCACCTACCCCCAGTCCCACTCCTGCGCCCAAACGAACCCCCGCTCCCTCCTCCCCACTCTCCACTCCCTCTCCATCCTCGCCATCATGATCATCGTCAGGCCTCCCACTCTCCTCCGCATCAACAGGCACACATCCACTCGGCACCTCCCCCTCCACCTGCCTCGCCTCCAGAGTGGGTTCGGACCCGGAGGTCTCAGTAATCGACGTCGGCAGCGTAGTAGGGACCGTGATCACCGAGGATCCTGCCCCAATCGACGTCGGGATTGAGTCGTCAATCGACGTGATAACCGACGACCCCGCGCCGCTCGACGTCAGGAGCGAGCTCTCGCCAACCGAAGTCGCCTGTGTAACGGCGGAGCTCCCGATACTGGTTACGGCGCGGGTGTATCCCGGTGGACATTGGATGTTGCTAAATTCATACGTCACCGTTAGGATCTGGGCAAGGGTGCTGTAAGTTGGGGTACGTACCCGACCTGGGCATATGCGGATAGGAAGAGGGCGGATGCGAGGAGGAAGGTGGTGGTGGGTAAGTTCATGATCATGCTCAGATGAGTTTCTTTAGAAGAGGTAAAGGCGAGGTGTCAAGCGTTAACAGAAAAAAGTCGCGACGAGGTGTGGTATTTAAGGTAAGAAGAACCAGGCCGTGTACTACTGCGCTTCACGGCACGTACACTCCAAATTATGATGGCGAGAAGCACCGGAATAGAATGAGAAGCAATATGTACTGTATAGAGGAAGATCGACGTCAAACCAGCCTGGCCCATTCGTGCGGCGAGTCTGAATTCTACGTGGTGTGTGGGATGATTTAGGATTCAGGGTGATGTGGAGAAGGAGGAGTATTGGCTCTTCCAAGTGGCATGATGAGAGGCTCGATCCCGTAATGCTTGAAATGTGTCATGCGGTTCAGCCTCTACTTACCGCATCATTAAGGGCAATGACTAAAGGCGACAAGCAGTTGGTGACCCCACCGTTCTTGCGCAATTTTTCAAAGGACGGGTTGGTCCGAGACCCGGGTGGACCGTGGATGTCTGACAGGAAGACTCCGATGAGGCAAGAAACAAAAAGTTTTTCTGGGCATTCAGTTATTCGGATACGGGGAATCGAACCCCGAGCTGCCGCGTGATACTGCTCCGATTGCCTTACCCATGAGAGGCGGCAATGTTAACCATTACACCATATCCGACTTGACCTGATTTTGCTTAAAGCAATTATTATATCGTTTCAAATGCTGAAGAGGCAACTGAACTGGCCCAGGGTCAGTCGATACTGCACCAAATTGTTCTCACTTTTCCGTAGCTTGAAAGAGAGATGGGACAACTCCTGCGTTGGTTTGACAAAGAGAAGCGCATTGTTTGAAGGTCACTGCCGTACGAGTAGATCAGAGAACCAGAAGGCTGTATCGTCTATGTGGATATTGCAAGGAGCAGCTGAGGATATGCAGACCTGGAAGACACAGGAGCGTATTCGTGAACCCCATAGAACCGCCTACAAGTCGAAATTACGCGCAGAACTCGTCGATGGCGGTCAGAATCAGAACCCAATATCGTGGCTGTGCCGCGTTCACCACCTCTCATCCCGCCATCACAGGCGACGCCCATGGACTAACAACCTCGACAACGACTAGGACGACCTCCCAATGAGCGACACGCCCGAATGGCCCTCCCTCTACCAACCCGGTAAAGAGATTCTCAACATCGAAGGCCGGGAGCCCGAACAGCCCGGTGCATCGTACTTGCATAACGTCGGCGGTACGTCCATCCTGTTCATACCCCAGAGTACTGTTGCTAATTCACATGAACAGATGTATTTCGGTTCACGTTCTTCTGGAACGTCATCTTCCACACACCCATCTTCGCCATCTGCGGTCTTTATGCCTTCCTCAATATCACGTTCTCTCCTTCCCGATCCCGCGCTGTTTCGAGGCTTGAGAAGGACGACGACTTTTCCCAGGTAGACGTCGGTGACGACGGGCAAGAGGGAGAATCGTATCCACTCACCCAAAGACTCCACGACGACGACGAGCTTACGCGCCAACATACCGCACGGAGCGCAACCATCAAATCCCGATCCTCCAAGCGCAAGCGAAACGAGACGCGTTCTCGCTTAACATTCTCCCTCCTTGCGCTATTGGTGTTTCTGACGTTTGGGTTGGCGGGGACGACGATTGCGTCGGTTCTGGTGTCGTTGTTGATGAGTGGGATGTTCAAGGCGGGGGGGTATAGTATGTCTACGTGAGTGCTGCTCTTTCGTTGTGGTGTGGGATGGTGCTGATGAGGAGGATAGGTGGATCCCATTTTTGGGAGCGGTGATTTCGGTGTTGGTTTCTGTGCTTTCGTACGTTGCCCTTGCTTTTCTTCCCGCGAGTTAGTTGCTGAGCAAAGTTGCAGGATCTGGCCTACTGTCGTCGACCTTATTTAGCCCCTCGCCGAACTAATCAACCTGTCGTCCCTTCCCTGCATATGCACTCCAGTTTCTGAGGCTCCCCGCTCATTCACCTCCGCGCACGCACGTCGAGCCTACTCGTATCTCAGCACAAGGCACATCGCTTCGTCCTGCTCCCTCTCTCCTTCGACGCACTGTTCGCCCCTCGCCCCCCACCGCATACATCCATTATCTGACTCTCTGCCTACAAGTTGTATCCACTCCACTCTGGCGTTCGGATCTCCCCTCTCTCCCTCCTATCAACCAGGCGCATACAGCGGTGGCGGACGAGTCGACCCTCTCTGCTTCAGGGCCGCGCGGGACCTTGCTGCGACGCTAGGATGGATAACCGTGGGTGGACGGGGAACGAGCGGGGGCCTGATGTGGGTATAGGATGGGCTCGAGTATGGGTGGTGAACTACTGGGGGGCGCATTATAATGAGGGTTGGGGAGGAACGGGAAGCTGGTATGAGGGATGGCAGGAGCTGAGCTGGTGGATCGCCGCTGGATAGGATGCGCGCTGGGACTCTTCCACGTATACTCCCCGCATTTGGCTCGAAGCTCGTGATTCCCAATTCAAGTGTTATACCAAGCAGTACTCTGTGTGCCTCTGCTTCCTCCGGCTCCGACTTCCCGCACGGTCGACGAACCACGCCAACGCTCTAACTCCGCCGTCTCACGTCATCCTTCCTAGTGTACGCCCCGGTGTTATTTCGTCCCTCCTTGTCAGCGCGCGCGCGTACCGTTCCATGGTCCACTTTTTCTCGGCACGATATCCCGCCATACTCTTCATCAGCTCACGATCCCTTCTCTATGGTTCAACTAGTCGGTTCTGCAATGAAGGGAGACATTTTCATACCCCCTGTCATCATACTCCCTCGTTATCTACCCTTGCGATTCTCCATGTCAACCGGGATCGAAGTCTGGCTTCTCGACGGCGGACATTTCGACACTGAAGCGATGAGGGGGGTTCGCTTCTCTTCGAGTCGTGTGTTGGTTCTGGTCGTGTGTTGGTTCTGGTCGTGTGTTGGTTCTGGTCGTGTGTTGGTTCTGATCGTGTGTTGGTACTGGTCGTGTGTTGGTTCTGGTCGTGTGCTGGCTCTAGTCGTGTGTTGGTTCTGGTCGTGTGCTGGCTCTAGTCGTCGTCGTGTTAGGTGAGGTTGATGGGGATGGAGCACGGGTGACGTGTGGGCATTCGTACGTAGTGGTCGCTGTGTATTGGTCTGATTCCATTGGCATTTCCTCTTCATGTCCTTGCTCCGGATCTGAAGGCATATTCTGTGCATCAAGTCGAAAAGAGAACCTACATAGGTCTGAATTGCGAAGCGAAGGAGCGTTTGTTTATACATAGGATTTGCGCTTAAATGGTTAGGATAGTCCGGTATGGTGTAACGGCTAACATTGCCGCCTTTCATGCGGAACTGAATGCACTCGATCGCGGCAGCTCGGGGTTCGATTCCCCGTACCGGAATTTACCCATCTTAAAAATGTATTTTTGTACTTTTCCACAAGCAGAGGGGTGTAGTAGATTTTCGACGAATTTTTCGAACAACATGCATGCATTGGGACCCAGGTACTACAGACTACAGTCCATTTTAATCCTGTCATTCTGATCTTAATCTGATATCTAGATGTAACGCTGTCTGTCTTAAACACGCCGTCACCGCACCGGGTCTGTGCTCCCAACGCTACAGCAGCCACTCTCACGCTCTTTGACAGTTACCAATGGTTATCAGTACTATCCAGTCCAACCACTTCCATAAAATCCCATGCACATATGTTATTGATCTCCAGAGTACAACAAGCTATTCTAGCTAGCAGTGTGTGCTACATTGCGCTCAGTGACCAGCTACAGACGCATACAGCGGAGGAAGCCCAGTGTCACGATCCCTGAGCGCAAGCTCGCTCACTGCGGAACGTAATTCCGCCATCTCTTGCCTGAGCTCACCCGCTATCGTCGTATCGGACACGCTTCCCCCACCTTCCATCACTTCCCTGGTTGAACCACCCGAGGCACTGGCAGTAACTGCTCTGTTGTGTGATTTAGACAATGGAAAGGGTGTTTGGGTAGTACCGGACTCCGGCGGAGACGGAAGATGGACCACCGGCCCTGACGTCGCTGTGTATCCAATGGGCGTTAGCGCCGCGTAGGCTCTACGCCGCTTGTCACGTCCGTGTTTGAGTATGAGAGCTAAGCCAACGAGAATGACAACCGCTGCTACGCCCCCGATAACCCCTCCGACGATTGCTTGTGTATTGGTATGTCTAGCGCCGGGCTCCGGGGTGGAACTTCCTTCAATGATGGAATCGATGTTGAGAGGTTGCGGCTCGAGCCTGGAAACATGTCGATGTTTTGAAAACTCAGTGATCAAAAGTCTGATTGAACGCGTAACTTACTGGAGTGCAAGGAAAGAGAACAATGCTCCCTGGGCTGCGCTGCATAGTTGATTCACTCGTTAAATTAGAGGATGGAACTACAGGACAAATTACACCTACCTGGAAGCTCCGTCGGCCTCTGATCCGGTATTGCTATCATACGTTGTAGGGAAATGTCCAGGCAGCTTGGAATCGAACGCTCTGTTGTAAATATCGTCCACTAGCAGATCTCGAGCCGCGTTCGACCGAGTGCTAGCTGCGGCCATCATTGTCCAATCTAGGCGATTTGAGAGACAGGCCGATGATCAGCAACTGTACGCAGGTAGAGACAACCAGTGATAACATACGTGTTTTGACTGTATTTGCCAGATCGCCAGTCGTTTCAAGAGAGCTCTTGAAGGTTCTAGAGGAGCCGCCTGCACAGAGACAGCGACGTAGCGCCACCATCAACGAGGCCACACCACGAGGTAAGAAGTCGGCAACGTACTAGCTATCTGATTCCAATAAAACTCGCTCTGTGCTTCGTAAATCTGTAGTAGATCTTGAGTTTCAAATAAAAGAAAGGAGACCACGTCGAGAAACCGCACCGAATCATTCACAAGTCTAGTTTGCAAAAGCACGTCTGCGAAAAGATTGTACATCAATCCACCGGAAGTTTGGTCCCCGTACACGGCTAGCAGATGATTTCCCGTGAAAGCAACACGCGTCCAGTCCTCTACCATTGATGCTGCAGCGTTCTGGTGAGACGATGAAGAGAAATTATGAGGAATCAGCGCGCGAAGGTTGCGAGTATACTGCAATTAATTGGGGGTGCTTACTGAGAATCTTTGCTTGTCGTCGCTCTGGCTGACAGCCGCGCTGATTTCAGCCAAAGCCTGGATGGCAATAATTCCTTTGATTGCAAGGTTTGTTGCATTTCTTCGCTGAGACGTGTCGACGGATACTCTGGATGGAGTGATACGAGAATCAGCCAAATCAGAAGGTAGTGAGCTCGCCCTTGACGCACTGATTGGTTGGGTACAGTGAATTCTCGATGAGGAAGTCCCCCCAACGCTTCAACATTGGATACTGCGCATTGGGATTATTCGGGTCAGAGATGTCCAAGATACTAGCCCCGTGCGCATGCGGGGAAAAAACACACATATTTTGATAGCATACTGCCATCTCCAGAGAACTTAGCATGAGCTAGCGCCATAATAATAATACTGGCGGAGTCTAGAACGCCTGATGATGAGTCGTGCAAATATGAGAGTAAGAGAGCAAGCACGTACTCTCAACGCCCTCCTGATTGGATCCTACGCTACCAGCCACAACCGGATACGAGATACCTGGTAGAGCGTTATAAACAGTAGATGTCAATAATATCAGTGAACTCGTACCGAGATTAGGAGCCGCGTAATCACTCCCTGGGCTGCTGTCGCGCTGATTTTGCAGCAAGGGCTCGAGAAGGCGTCCGGCAAGAGAGGTATTGAGGTACAGAAAGGCCGGGTAAGCCGCATAAACCTCCTCCACTGGACTGACCGTTCTGCGGTGACCGGTAAAATCACGACATAACTGAAGTATGTCGGAAACAGACTCTCACCTGCCGGCTGACGAACCCATTTTGCGCATGAACATCTTCACATCCGAATGATTCCAGTTACCATCCGAACCACGAGCGATAGTGAGCTCCGTCGCACCCAACACCTGCCGAGTGCCGAGCGCCAAGAGCTCCGCGTATCTCGACGAGACTTTGGAAGCTTCAGTCTGAATCTTTCTATCGAACTCATCCGCTCGCCTCTTTGCGTTCGGATAGTCCTCTAGAAATGCGTCGATCTAGAGCGAGAACACATGGACGTGAATTAATGGAGTAAACTGAAAAAAATTGTATGATACTCACACCAACGGATATGCTGCTGCCATACGCCGACCGAAAGTAAGAACTTCGCTCCACACCTCGATCTTGAATTGCATTATCTCTGGATTTTCCAATGGCGAATACAGCTGGCTCTGTAGTTGATGTAACGTCTCCCAAATCAACGGAGAACGCTGTTGTTGGCCAGCCTCTTCTGCAGGTAATACAAAAACATGGTCGATTAGACTTAGTAATCAAACACTGGCACATCCATCCCGTGGAAAGAACCACGCACTCGTTCACCTTTCGGAAGTCTGAATCCGGCGTATCTGGAAGCTTTCCATCCGCCGTGAACACCTCCTGGCATCGAAAGCCTGCCCCAGATCTCCACGTCACTGAACCGTCGACACGGCTAGCAGTAGCAAAATAAACAATGTCGTTCTCGCTCATCCCGAAATCATCTTCTCGGAGGTCGAAAGGCATCTCATAGCGTTGGATTTGATGGAATATTGTCTTGCTCGTCATCTCGGTACTCCACCTGACCTTGATGTTATTGCCAGCGATCCATTCTGCAAGTCGTCAGTCTCACGATGCTCAACCATTACGGAAAGACCGTGTAGTATACATACCTCCAGTGATATCAAAGTAGAGCACGACTGAGTGAGGGAGTCCGTCCATTGACTCAGCTGTCATAGTGACATAAGAAAAGGGAAATGACAGCTTGACCCAGTCATCGGGCTTTGGAGCATAAACGACGTTAATACATAAGTATCATGATCTGTACTGATCCATACCTCAATCGGACTCAACCATGTAACTCGTAAACGAATCGGGCCAGCGAGAATGGCCAGTGAAGTTTGGGTAGGTGTAATGACTATTTCATCTTCAAACACGCCCTGTCGGTATGATGAACTAGGCTCCTGTATGAAGACGTATGTCTGGTTGATTCCGTCAACTTGAATGAGGCCCTCGGTACCCCAGTTCTTGAACGTAAAATATTAGAAATGCTACCGGCATCCGTTATTTAAACACCGTGACGAACCTTGTTTGTCTGAAATATGACCTCTGCGTCAGATGGACTGCCACCCGTCGGTAAAGTATACCAGGCGTTGAGAGAGGGAGAACGAATGGCAAGCGGAACAGAGTGCGGTCGGGCAATCGCTAGAAGTGACAAATGAGCGAATAGTGGTAGTAGGATATAGCGGAGAAGAGACGCAGTGAAGCGCAGCATCGTGTATAGCTGGCACACTGAGAACGTGGGGAATCAACCAGTGCTCAAAACAAAATGATCCCAGCTCTTGAGTCGACTTTATACAAAGACGGGCCTCCCAATCAAAAGAAACTTTGATATCGATGTACCCGGGATATATGTGCTTGCACTGGATCTCTCGCGAGCTTCGAGATGATCAGCAACTTTGATGCAATGACAAGACTCGTCGGATTCTGTACCGCCATATACGCGTACTTCACACGCGCTAATTTTGGATTCTGGAAGTGAAGTTGAAAAGACTGGGCCCATACATTGAGCAGATTCCGCCAGGCTTCTTGGGCCAAGGCCTCTCAAGTTATTCTATCACTCCGTACTCTCTGAATCCATACTCGCATATCGAGATCCGGAATCTGTGCCGTGTGTTGTCGTTCCAAGCGTTCGCTTGGGTTCACAAAACATTGCGGGGAAGTAGCAGGCAGGTATACGTACTTACCCAACGCGGCGCTGTCTATGAGCAGTCTGATGATTCACGTAGCTTGTGATACTGGTGTATGGGCGCGTCTCTAGCCTGGGGCCTGTCCTACCCGGACGTATCAGCGTCAGTGTCAACCGTGAGCGCTGGATGGTCCACCCCAGTCCCCTTCCACCTTCATCGCCATTGCCTCCAATTCGGAACAGCTTCGGCTCAGTACAAATACGGTTCCATAATCATCATCAACACTCTCCCTTTCCCATCTGTTGGTTATCCGGTATCGCATGGCTGGTACAACGTACTGCCACGCATCTACTTCTCTCAGTTCTTTCATAGCCTGCGCGTTGATTCCCCGCACATTGCTCTACGGTTAGAGCCCGGTCCTTCCAGAGAGGACTCGTCATTGGCTGACTCGAGTTGTTCAGGAATCTATCTTCTCATCGGCACCATCGCCATGTATCGCCTTCTGTAAGTCTTCTCGCCGTTCTGATCATTCGTGAGCCGTTTCTCACACGCAGCCGCTACCACAGCCGCCAACCTCGCAAAACCCGAGCAACATGGATCCTCCTAACAGCAACA